ACTTTTGTGTGTTTTTGTCAGGCAGAAATTTATTTATACCCCCTGAGGGTGTAAGAGGTTAAGCTCCACTTTCAATATTCACAACTGTTCGGCGCCAAGTACCATTTCCTCTGATCACGGAGCAGTCGGTTTGCTTGGAATCGCAATTAATCCTGAAATAACCAAGGATAGAGAGGATACACTGGATTAGTCCTTCAAATTGGGCAAAAAGAAGGACGCATTTTAAGGCCGCATAAAGAGGAGTCTTGGAATCATACCAGACTTCAGGGCCTCGCTATGACGTAATCGGCCTTCAAGGGACGCATCCCATGAATGCGAACAGAGCCTATGTATCAGTAGGGCAGGCTATAGTGGCAGCCGCTCGCCTGGAACGCAGTGTCTAGCCTGCACAGTTCCAATATTTCTCAGAACTTCAAATTGAAACTAGTGTTGCGCCGATGCCATTTTTTGGCCCCCATATCGATACCCGACATCTGGCTCGACAGTATCAGCCGATACCGATACCATCTGTTTGAAATTGATGTGTGTGTGTATATGAAGAACTGCATACTACTAGGATGTAAAAAATTGCCATCATGGCTTTGTCAAGCTGCTGCCTACCTTTGAGAAGCAGGAAAAAGACTAAAACAAAGAGAATCTAGAAGAACTTTTTATTGCCTACCTGGAATGGGTGACAATAGTTGAATAAACTTTTTGTTCTCAAAATGGTATTGTTGCCCTATTTGTTGGTACTCGCCGATAACGATACCCCCATTTTAGTGCTGGATCGGGGCTCCGCCCGATACTGGTATCGGTGCAACACTAATTGAAACGTGTTTTTTACATCTGTCAGGGCAGTGTAACATGCCCTTTTTCAGTCCACCTTTTAGGTCTAAAACAAACAAAACATATGTTTTCCTACTCAGGTGAGACGTGGTTTGCATTGATCAGCGTAGGTGTTTTTAAGATGCAGCTGACCTTTATACATTCTTTCCAGTCATGCAAATGATTTCAAGCATCTATTCATCTTCTAAAGCAGCGATTCATGAATAAAAGGACAACATCTAGAACCTTCAAATAACTGCTTTAATGCTTACTAGGCATCTCTGTGGGATTAATTAAAATTCAGCGCATTGTAAAGCAGCAGTTAATAATAAAGCCATATCAGGGGACATTTCAGAGAAGTTAAACTTAAGGAAGAAATAACTGCTAAATCTTATGCTGTCATGTGTAAAGTTGTTTGTTTAATTTAGTCTCTTGGCTCCATAATTCTAATATTTAAAAAGCAAAACATCAGAATAAGAAACCTCTGGCTATCTTAACACTAAATACCGGCGCTGTGTGAAGGACATCTACGCCAAGAAGAAAGCAGGATGGAGGGAGCTCCAAGCTGGATATCTCACAAACTGCAGAATAAACAAGCTACAATTTGTGTGAACACTTCTGCAGCAATCGGAGAGGACTGATGTTCATGAAGACACTAGAGGCTTTAAGATTTCCCGGAGGCAGTTTTTACATTTAGAAGGTAATTTATTCAGGTATGTTTAAAAAATTAAAAAGTAAAAGAAGTCAAAGACAGGTTTGCTTGGATTGTCCAACTCCAACTGAAACTGATCAGATTCTTCCGACATGAACTGATCCAGTTTGCTACACTTGGCTGCCCATATCTCCCAGTGATGTTATTGTGAAGTCAAAAAGTCAGTCTTAAAGGAAGACCTTTTTAATTTCGGAAAAGCATCTGTGATGTACTTGGCTTATTAAAGCCTTTTATAATAATTTCTTATGGGTGCACTTTCGGATGAGCAGTTGAAGTAAAAAATGTTACCCATTTAACAAAACTAACAATCAAACCTTCATTAAAATGGCTGCGGAAAGCTTTTTCAAATGTGTCCAATCTTTTGGGCCATGTTTTTTTTTTTTTTGCAAATATAGTATATCTGAGATTTTAGGCAGTGTTTGCACATCTAGTCCACTTTTTAAAACACCTTAAGACTGGAGATTGCTAGTAAAGCACTACAAGCATGGCCACTTCGATTTCTGGACAGAACAGAAAGAAGCATAATGAGGCTGTTTTCAACCTTTAAAACAACTTTAATATAAAGAAGTAGACGTGCTTCCTTCCACTTCTCTACGACCTTGGAGGAACAGCAGAGCCAAGATGAGAGCTTTCAAGTTTAAAGTTGTCTTTATTGGCCTGTGATGCTATTTATTACAAATGTGTTTTGGATCCAAGCCATTCAGGGATTTTTTAGACAAAGTGTATTCTGTGAGATAGACTAAATAACAAAATACACAACACATATACACATATATGTATATATATATATATATGTATATATATACATATAT